AAACCTGCCATTTGTTCAGCTTCTAGATCTATCAAAGGCCAGAGGTTTATCTCTATTTATCTGTCTATCTATCTATCTAGATCTAGATCTATCCCACCACACATACACATCGCGCGCGCGAGCGAGCAGACCTCTAGCCTAGCCTACGATAGCTTCTAGATTAAATCAATTGAATTTGATGTGCTAAAAAGATCACCGCACTTCCATTCAGTTTCCTTTATTACTTTATTCTCAGGTATGGTAGCGTCAATTGCCACAGAGTGACGCGCTGGCAATTGACAAAAATTGACTTTTTGTCAATTGCCACTGAGTGAAGCGGTGTCAAGTCTGAAAACAACACTATCTTTAGCATTATACATAATGTGTGTCTAATGGGTCAATTTGTTCTCAATTGGGCCTAATTTCATTGGACGAGTATCTAGTATAGAGCTACACGGTACCACCTTGGCGTGTTTTCAATGAAACGTAGGCCTAGATCTAGGCTAGCCTTTGCCTACACTTTGGTGTAGAACCAACACAGGCAATTCTAGAAGTAGAAGGTCACAAACGCACACAAACTCAAGCAGAAATTCACGTTATATTGGCAGGGCTTGAAATAGACCGCGGCACCGTGGCAATTTGCCTTGGTGCTTTTGCAATTTGCCGTAATGCCCTTAAAATCAAAGGGTTAACAGCGGCAATTTTTGCCGTGCCCTTGTTTTTTTTTGTTGTTTTTTTACAAAATGTACCACCCTGAAAATAAATCAATATTTATTCTGTGCTGTCACTTTGGAATTATTTTTTTTTTTTTTTTTTAAGATACACTCGTGGAAGAGAGAGAGAGGAGAGGGGGGTTTCCATAATGTATTTTTAATTTGTGAGAGAAATATGACAAAAATCATCTCTACTTTCCAAAAAAAAAGGAGGGGGGGGGGGGGGGGTATGAAGACATCCCGTTAGACTTGTCTGAAATCTCATCAAAGCTTCAGTGAGACACTGCTCAGCTTGACTTTTGTGTCCATTTTGTCAAGGCAAGTGCAAACACACTCACATTAAATTAATCAAACCTCAGCAGTGTCTGAAAAAAGATCTGGATGAAAAAGAAGACTGCAGATGTGAGAGAAAGTGCAAGTGTGATGATTATAAACATGAAAGATGTGTTGGATAAGCTGGAGCTGTGCTTGGAAGAAAGATTTTCTGGCACATCAGAAGATAAAGTTTTGAAGAGTGCAGGGATATTTGATAGGACGAATGTGCCTGAAACTGACAAAATGGATGAGTTGAAAGAATATGGTGAGACACAGATGGATGACTCAATAGCTCATTATGAGACTGTGCTTCAACACCAAGGATGCTCAACACTGAAAATAAAGAAAGAGTGGCTCATGTTCCTCTCCGAAAGTCAGTTATAAATATTACCTCTGAGTGAGAACAAGACAAGTTCAGTTTTGAAAACAGCAAGGAAATTTCCCAATCTGTTTCATTTGGCTCATGTAATCCCTGTTTTCTTTGAAGAGGCGCATCCTAGGAGACTGAAGGCATTTGCTTTCCAGAGATATGCTTGAAAAGATCATGCTTATAGGTCCCAATGGTCCTGAGATCAAAGAATTCGATCCAGAACCCTGCATAGCCAAGTGGCAAGAGATTTGTTTGATAAATAGACGTCCTGATAATACAGCACTATTCCCTGAGATCATCTTCTCTGGTGATACTTTTTAAAATCACTTGTGTTTTCCCATAAGGGACAAATAGTAAGCCAGTCTTTTTCTATATTGTGTGTGCCAACATATTTTCAATATTCTGATCATCTAGTGATTTACTTAGTTTTCATTCATCATTTTACAAATTTTCCGATAACTTTATACTTTTGTTGAGAGCAAGAATAAATTGTATTGTTATTTATATTAACGTTGTGATGCACGATTCAGTATTACCAACTTTAACTCATTCGCTACGCCGAGCCGTGGGGGGCGGCGCGGCTAAAGTGGCGTCAGTACGCTAAGCCGCCCCTGGCGGCTCGAGAACCGACGTTCAATTTTAGCTTGGTTTCTATTCCAATCCACATATCCATGTTAAAATAAAGGTCATAATACAAAGTTGACTT